TGTTCCATAGTTGTGAGTTTCATTCGTAAGTCGTGCTAATGTGGTGGGTATCTGATCTGCCCTAAGTGAAACCGTTTCCGATAACCTTTCTAGGATAATCCAAGTCAAGACCTTTCACAGCGATAGGCATTCATTGATAGGGGCGCGATGGTCTTTGCCATTTGTAAGCCTCCTCCTCCAATTCAAGCGTGTGCATGTGCATGTGCGTGTGCGCGCGCGCGTGTGTGACTGTGTGTGTGTGTGTGTTGGTGTGTGTGTGTGTGTGTGTGTGTGTGTGTGTGTGTGTGTGTGTGTATGCGCGCACGTGTGTGTATGGCACGTGTGGCAGGTGCAGCTATCTCGAGCAGTCGCGATGGATAGAGCGTATGAGTGGCGTTAGTTTATAATAACAACTCCGTCAGCGAGAAAGGTGCGCAAATTAGAACAAACAGCGACGTGCAGGATTTGTCATCAGCACCGACATTGCATTTATTCCACTACAAATGTCACACCTGCGCCGAATGGGGGCGGGACGCGATTTAGCGAAGTAACTTCACAATTTTCAGAGGTTCAAGCAGTAACCCTAGCTAAAGACTGAAAAGGTGAGAAATCAGGAGTAGTAGTACACCGCCAGAAGGCAGGAGGTGTGAAGCAGAAACACACAAGAATAAAAGCAGTGATAGTGAAGGAAACAGGATACGCGCATACTATATATATATAATACTATACTATATATATATAACATAAATATATATGTATATATATACTTATATACATAAAACAATTTGAACGATATTAAAACATTAGCACCAATAATGACGATGGAATAAGCGGGTAGCAATATTAAGATCCAAATATAATCACAGGTAATTTTTCATTGTCATATTCAACAGATATATGCCGTCCCCACCTCCCCTATTATTCGCTACGTCAGTAACAAGTAAACTTCAAGAAGCAATTCGAGCAGGCATCGTTCCGTCGTCCATCTGTAATTAGACTGGTAAATAAATCATTTGAAAAAAGGAGAGAAAGCAATTTACTAGCAATTTCGATAGCTTAAAGTACTGTCGTTGAGTAGAAACGTTTGCCTAAACATAATTGAATGAAGTAGATAACTACGGCAACGACGTCACACGCGCATGTACGGCCGAGCGCACTAACACCACGCGCACACGCGCACGCGCATGGCACGCGCACGCGCACGTACACACACACACACACACACACACACACACACACACACACACACACACACATACACACACACACACACACACACACACACACACACACACACACACATACACACACACACACACACACACACACACACACACACACACACACACACACACCGCTGCCCTCTGCCGCGCGGACACGCTATGCCACGTCACACAGTACCATTAAATGATCACGCCACAGTCATAAGCATACGCACATTTGTGACATACAGACAACACAATACATACGCGCGCGCCCACATATATATCTTAGCATATATATGTGTGTGTGTGTGTGTGTGTGTGTGTGTGTGTGTGTGTGTGTGTGTGTGTGTGTGTGTGTGTGTGTGTGTGAGTGTGTGTGTGTGTCCGTGTGTGCGTGCGTGCGTGCGTGCGCGTGCAGTATCAGGCTGCTCCTCTCTCGCGTGCACTAAAACGCTCTCTCAAACGCGTTCTCTTGTAACAGAAACGGCGGTAATTGAATGAAAATCGAAATATAACATCGCTATCCACGTTCGCTTTCCACCTATTTTCAAGGCGACAAATTCCAGTTCTCGCGGGACAGCAAGGCAAAACAGCCAACCCCTCCAGCCGAGCTGCAAGGCGACGGAAAAGGACTTGCTCATGATCCGACGAATCTGTCATATAATCCCGTGCCGTCGTGCCGGTCTCCCGGACTCGTCCTGTTTCTCAGTAACTATGTATGGGGCGATATATTGGCGAACCGGGAGAAGTGCAGGGTGATCTTTTATGCTGTTGCCGTTAATATTAAAATGGTCGCAGGCGAACAAAAATCTGATGGAAGCTGCCGCTAGAGATCATGCCGTCGCTGGGTTTTTCTAAAAATTAATTAAAAAATTAATAACAAATTAAATTAATTAAAAATGCAAATTAAAAGAAGAGATTCAGAGATTTATTAGAAATTCAGCACGACATTTTGTGCATCAGTTCTTCTTCTAGCTTTTTCTTCATCTAGTTATGTCTCGTCTGCTCTCTTATTCTGTCACTCTCGCCTTTCTTTGACTTGCTCGCACGCGTGGTCTCTCTCTCTCCTCCCTCCCTCCCTCTCTCTCTCTCTCTCGCTCCCCCTCGCTCTCTCTCTCTCTCTCTCTCCTTTTCTCTATCTCGCTCATTCTCGCGCGCTCCCTCTTTCTCGCGCACGCTCTCTATTTCTTGTTTTCTCATGATCTTACTCACTCTTACACGCTTTCGCGCTCTCGCTGTTTCTCTCTCACCCTCTCCTCCTCTTACGTCGTTGTCGTTGACTAATATCAGGATAAACTTCCAGAAAAGCCGAGAGCTGTTGTTATAAGTGTCTGGCTGTCGGGAAGTTTACTAACGTGTAAAGGCTGTTTAGAAATTCAGCATGACATTCCAATGCACTCTCTCGCTTTCACATTTTTTCCGCTCCCTGCTTTCTTTCTTTTCTTCCCTCTCACCCTCTCACTCTGTTTCTCGCTGTGTTTGTGCGTCCGCGCGCGCGGGGCATCCTCTTCTCTTTCTCTCTCTCTCTCTCTCTCTCTCTCTCTCTTTCTTTCTTTCTTTCTTTCTTTCTTTCTTTCTTTCTTTCTCTCTCTTTCGCTTTCTCTCTCTCTCTCTCTCGCCCTCTCTGTCCCACTTTCGCATATATCACATGCATGCTCTCACTCTCCCTTTGCCGCTCTTTGCCCATCTCTCCGCGTTTCGAATAGGTATTTTGCTAAAACCGGCGTGATTGCTTCTGTCAGCGACACAGACGACACCTCTTGGAGTGATGGCGGGTTTGGGTAATACCGCAACCAACCCTCGCTCGACGAGAGTTCGACCCCTACGGAACGCAATCAGCGGGTTCTTACAAAAACGTAGCACGATCATAAGAAGTCCCTTAGTCCACGTTCATTAGAAGTCCGTTCGTCGTGCCTAAATGCAATACCTTCGCACACGGCAGCAATCTTAATTTATCGCCATTCGTCCACGTGCACATGCGCACGCACTCAAAGCTGCAGGACAGACGAAAAGGACCGCGCGAACATTCTGACGCCATGTGGACATATTGGATGCAGATTCCCTGCGTCTAAATGGCAAAGCCGACTCGTTCTTGAATATATATATACAATTACATCAATTTCCCCCGCGATGCGCTGAAATGGGGGGCGCGCATCTTGACTGTCAAGAGGCTATTGCATAAATTTAGAACGTCGGCATATATATATATATATATTGCATCGGGGACGAGTCAGCGAGCGATTGAGCAGTGGGGGGAGGGAGGAGGGCATGATCGGGAAAAGGATACGGCAACGGGGAACGTGGTAGAAGACGTGAGAGATGGCGAAATCGCGGATGAAGCGCGGGTGAAATGAATTGAGAGGATGTGAATCAAATGGAAAGAAACATCCTATTTTCAATTTTGTCATTTTATACACCTTTATATTGTATCGTGATAACGATTTTTATATGATACATAGAATACGCGTTTCGCAGCCAAAGGCTACATTGTAGCCTCTCCATTGCGTTCACAGTACGTTTTTCAGTAGGCCTACGTTTCACCAGCGACGGAAAAATTGATAAGTTTTTCATTAGGTCGTGCAACGCATCCGCCACATGAATTCACTGTTAGCACTTCCGCTGCGTCTGTAACTGTCGTAACCTTAGAAGCTCGTCTGGTAAATAATTAATTACGACAGCACCTCGGGAATTACAACACGCAGGATGGCGAGGGCATGTCACCTGAAGGACAGACGCAGAGACGGAGAAGTTCATATAGTGGTCATCACGTCCGACGCGCCCCTTATATTACCGACGAATATTCGATTACGAGACTCTTAACTGGAGACGATGCGCAAAGTTTGAAAAGTTGCGAGCTGAAAGAGGGGAGATATTGCGTCTGTCTCCAATCGCGACTCGTACTGATTATCTTGTATTGAGAGAAAGGTTGACCAAATTACTGCGGTCGATGAGCTACTCTGGTATGATCGAGCGAACTGCGACATCTACGTCGAAAGAAATATCAAATATACGAAAACAACAAAGGAATAATAGCTAGACAGATTTTTTCTCTGAAGTAAAGGTTTTGAATAGAAAAAAGCAGTAGAATAATATTCCCAGAGAAATGGATCACCTAATCGTATTGGATTTACGCGTATTATTCATACGAACTCTATTTCAATGGTAATCTATTTTTGTAGTTAGTGAATTATAGCATATCTGGGTGTGTCGAAAATTATTACGCAGTCCATTAGACTGTTTCACGGCAATTCGGTCCGTTTCGTAATGTTTGTCATTTCAGGTAATGTCACCTGACAATGGAAGCCAAATCAATTTCGCTACGCGAAACATGCCATAGTCTCTATATAAACAGTAACACGTTTTGTCGCTAGTAAATTATAGCAGATTTGGGCATGTCGGAAACTACTTCGATCCAGTCCATTAATACTGTTTCACGGGGGTAATTCCCGCAGTGTATGTAACCTTGAGCAGTGTCACCTAATATTGAAAACCAAGTCGATTTCGCTACGCGCAACATTAACGTTCGTTGCACTGTTTACCTCGGCCGTGCGAAATCCACCGCCAAAACCGAATTAAAATTCCTCTCGTCCCGGCGCGGGAGCACACGTAAATAACTCTCACATATACTGATCGTCGCACGAAATCTTGTAGAGTCCTATTTATTTCACCGCGACCTTTTTTTTCCTCGTAAATAACTCTCACATGGTGATTGTCGCACGAAATCCTGTACATATTTTATTTCATTTCGCCGCGACCGTTTCCCTTGTAAAAAAAAAGAATGACGTGGATTTTCGCACATTTTCTTCTCGCACGCAGGCATGCCGTTTGACATCTACGTCACCTGGGAGCAGTACCCGTGGACGTTCGGTACGGCACTCTGCTTCATGAAGGGCTTCCTCCTCGAGATGACCACCAACGCATCCATCCTCTGCATCACGGCCTTCACCGTCGAGCGCTACGTCGCCATCTGCCACCCGATCTGGGCGCACACGCTCTCGAAGATCTCTCGCGCCGTGAAGATGATCACGATGATCTGGCTCGTCGCCTGCGCCGTCGCCATCCCGCACGGCTACATCAACGAGGTCAACTACCTGCAGGACGACGCTGGCAAAGACATCAGCGCGTCGTCATGGTGCGCTGTTGATTTCCAGAGCAGCGACAATGCTCAGCGGCAGCTCCTGCTCGTGCTCTTCGCGTTCTTCTTCTTCTTCTTGGTGCCGATGAGCATCATCGCCGTGCTGTACGTGCGCATCGGTCTCGTGCTCAGTAACTCCGGCCTCGTGCGACAGAACAGCGACGACAAGACGCCCAGCAACCGCGAGGCGAGAAAGGCCGTCATCAAGATGCTAGGTAAGCGCAGAGGAGATACGGGTAACACACGCGCACGCACGCGCGCACACACCCACACACACACACGCATGCACGCACGCACGCACACACACACACACTCACACACGCACACACACCCACCACTGCAACGACAAAAAGAACCGGCATATATAAATGATCAGGAGGCGTATACATGACAATGTAATTTGTCATATAACTCCTGATAATTAATATAACACAACACACACACAAAAACACACACACACCACAACACACCACACACACACCGGCGTATCGCGCCCACTGCACGCCACACACACACACACGCACAAACACCCGCACCCACACACACACACACATCACACACACAAATCACACACACAACACAAGCAATGGGACTCAAAAATCACACGTACCTTAAAGTTTACGTTCATGATGCCACTGTTCAACAACCAACCCCAGAAATTCTGCTCCAGTTGCATGGTTGTTGACGTGAGCTAATTGTGTAATATGGCTTACGTTGGCAACTCGTCACAAACACGCAGTCATGCAATGTGGTGATCCGTTGGTTAAAAATGGTCAGCAACTCAGAAAATCATGATTGATGTGCAGGATTTGAAGGTGATAATGTTAAAACCAATGGACATACTGTCTGCACGTTTTATTCTACTGCTGTCTTTTTCTAGGGATAATTAACGACGCCGCCGATAGAATACAGACACGCGCGAACGCACGCGCGCAGCACAACATCAGCAGGCACACACGGCATGGCACTGCACGCACGCACATTACACGACACCCTCACACCAGGCACGCACACAACCACAACACACACACAGCACATCTACACACACACACTATACACATACACATGCACAACTACAATTCACATCCCGCGGCACGCACCCACACACCGACCACACTACATCGGCACACCACCACACGCCGCATCCGTTCATGGGTTGTGTGTCGCCATTGAATGCGAAATTGAATGCCCAAGTTTTACTAGTAATCGCGAAAACAAAACTGCCGCCTTGGCGTAATACGATTGTTAAACACCTAACGTGCCTCACACACCATAGCGATCACCAGTTGCGTATGGTTGCGAATCCCTTATCACAAATGAGTGGTCATAAGTTCCGAACGCACTCACACGCAACTAAATAGGTTTTATAGGTTGGCATAGTTTATCGGTTTTTATAAGTACGCAACAAGCACGCCAGGTAATACGCAGACACCACGCAGAGCTAAGTTCATAAAATTTTGAGCACTGTTTAATAATTCTCTGTGAATTGCTCTGCGATCAAAATTTATACGCAAACAGGGACGCAACGAGGTACGCTACGGCCACGAAACACGATCGCAACACGATCGCAACCAGGTACGCAACTCATAAGTTTATGAACGCAGTGTGATCGCAGGGTCCGAAATTTGAGGTTATCTGGCCAGGTTTGTGGATACGGTACATGGCTTGCGAATGTGTTGCGACACCTTTTGCGATCATTGTTGCGATCGTGTTGCGTGCCTGTTGCAAATCCTGTTGCGTGTGTAGCTACCCCCACCACCTATTGTGCGTATTCGCCAGCGTATCCCCAACCTATTAGATTGCGTGTGAGTTGCGTGTTAGTTGCGTAGCTCATGCGTGTTGAGAAAGATGGTATAAATAGTTGCACTTTTCTAGATCGTTCAGTTTTGGTAGACCTCCGAGGTGATCAACATGAGAGCTTACCTCTGTGTTATTGGACATCAGTTTAATCTGGACATATTTAGCGACTCCATAATAATATAGCACCTCATATAAAAAATATTTTTACACGCAACTCATAGGTTCAGTCATACGCTATCCTAGACGTTCGCTTCGTCTTTAAACACCCTTATCTATAGACCGTTACTTGTTGTTTATCTACCACGGGTGTTCGTGTGTGACTTTACTACTATAGATATATGATATAATTACGTGGTGGTGTGATGTGTGGTGTGTGTGTGTGTGTGTGTGTGTGCGTGTGTTNACATTGCCTCATGGGAAATGTTACAAACGGGGCAGGAAGTTTAAGCTGTCATTTTGGCCACTGACTTCTACCAAAGAAGCATGCAATAACATTCGAACTTGTGAATAAGGGTGTCACTACAAACATACTTCCCTCAGATACCTCTGTGGTAAAAGTAAATATTCTTGTCACAAGATGGAAGCACCGGATAACTGGGATTTCAAGGGGTATATTCAAGGGATATTCAAGGGGTAGGATATTCAAGGGGTTACGGATATTCAAGGGGTAGGATATTCAAGGGTAGGATATTCAAGGGTAGGATAGGAGGATATTCAAGGGTAGGCTATTCAAGGGGGCAAGGGTAGGATATTCAAGGGTAGGATAGGAGGATATTCAAGGGTAGGCTATTCAAGGG